ATAAAGAAAGAGAAGCATGATTATTTGAAAGAGAAGTGGATTCTAGTAGCAGAAATAAGAAGCATAAGATGGGCCATAAATGGAAACAGCATTTGACACAACACAAGCACATGCTAAAGGACTGTGAATGCGGCAGCAGAACGTAATTAATTTCAAATAAGGTAGAAAGGAATGAAAAGATTGAGCTAAGGGATTTCAGTTTTGCGGGGAGACAAGCAGATCAAGAATTTTTACATTATCTGGCGTAAATACCCTTGTTTGAGGTCGTTGAAACATATTCTAAATTCCGGATTTCTAAATAGGATTTATGCATATTAAATTTCAAATTCCTCTTCATTTTAAACTGTTTCTGTCTTTTGCTTATTATATATTTTTGTCGCAAGATTCACAAAGTCCGGTAGACGGACTCGACCAGCATGCGAAAGTCTTTCAGAGTTATGAAATTTTTTGTGAAATTGTAATACAGTTTAATTAAGCATGTATTCTCTCCTTCTTACCCCTAAATCAGTCTGTGCATCAAACCAAGGGATTAAGCTACATCTTCTTTGTTTGTAAAACAGTCAAAGTTGCTAAAATAGTTTTTGTTTCCCTTCTTAATTATGTTTAAATCTATGATCTTTTTTGTGCGATTCGACTCCTTTCCATTTGCGCTATAGAGACCTACCAGATGTCTCAATATTGGTTGACCAACCAGATATGTATTCTGCTGTTGTGTATTGCAGAAACACACTCACTAGGAAAGGGGAAGATAAGGACTTATGTTGCTATCCTGTTGCGTAGCAACATCGAATCACATCACATACTGAAGAATTGAAATTTTACTTTATGTAGTAAAGGCCTTATGGCTACATATTACAACAGGGGGGGCTCTCTCCTCGATTAGTTTACCTAGGTAAAGGGCTCCTCCTTTAAGTAATTCCCCGCATGCAATTTATTATTTAGCTCCTCTTTGTATGACCAATGTATTTAGTTTTCTGTAACATTGTATTAATTTTTTATTTTGTTTTGTAAAATTATGTATTCAATCTAGGTAGTTTAGTTCTTCGAATGTACTGTAGAATTTTAAATGGTATGTGGACAGTTTAAATTATATGAACTGGATTATATCTGAACTGAACTTGACGCAGTGAGGTAGATAGGAAATTTCATAAAAGGGGCAAAAAACTGAGATTTTTAGACAAAAATCTAAACAAACAGACAAACATTTGTAATTCTTTCATACATTTGAACATAGTTCAGTCCAGTTCAGTTTTTACATTTTAAAATTTCTCTTCATACATTATCTTACTACAACTACATTTCGATCAATTACATAGTATGTTCACACATTGCATAAAATACTTAAAATAACAGGAATAAATAACAATTACGTAAGATGTTGTTAGCAGGGGAGTTCCTTTATGAGGAGCACTCTCGGTAGATGAGCTAATCAAAAAAGGGCTCTCCCTTTTTGAAGTGGTTTAATATGTAATTGTTTGATTACACCAGTAACAGAACAATGAATTGGGCTTCAGAATCCAATTTGATAGTTCTGGTATGGTTGAATGAAAATGTTTTAAGCCTTTGACAAAAAACGAAAACAGACAATGATCTTTTTATATCTACTTGAACATCATTCAAAAAATTTAACACCAAAGAAACGCACAGATCTGATACAACAATGCAAGAATATTTTCCTTTTTTAAAATAGTAACTTTTATGGTTTGTCGTGTACCATATTGGTGAGCGTTTGACACAGATTCATAGAAGTTGTGACACAGATTTGAAACATAACACCTCATAACATAACATAAAACATAACAGTTGTGACACAGAATGTGACACAAGTCTAATTATTTACTCAAAGTCATTTTTCATAAATCATACTAATTGAAGATTTTATGGTCTGCTCTTCGCAAATGGCATTTTAAGTTGCCCATCTGATTCAGAACAACTGAAGAAATAGTTATAATATCCTTTTAAAGACTGTTCTCTCAAATTGTGTAAAAAGTCTCTCTCTACACTTGAGTAAAAAGAAAACCATGTTACAATTTCTACAAGATGAGAATCTTTACCCACAAAATAGCTGTTTAGCTTTACAGGGACTTTTTAGCCCCCCTGACCCCTCTCTATCTTCGCCACGGGCTTGACATAATCATTTATTAATCATGCTTATAACCAACAGAGTTCTTATAAAATATCTATGAAAATATGCAAAAATTTCAGGGGAATCACCTGGGCCAACGGCAAAACCAAGGGCATAAATTGTAAAAAGTGTGGCGAAACCTCTCCTCTTTTCTTCCGTTGTTGTTGATTGTGCCATAACAGCACGGCATACAGCAACATCTCCTAGTCATAAATAATACGTCAATTTTATAAAACACTCTCTATTCTACAGACAAGCCATTCAAGGCGTACCCTCTATCAAGGATAATAGCAAAACAACTGCATTTTCTTTCCAAATGAACTATCACACACAACAGGAAACTTCGGTTATACAAATTTATAAGCAAAGAAAAGTTCAACAAACCTCTTGATATTCCACAAATAACTCTTGCAATCAGAATCATCACAAGTCCACTGTTTTTAGGAAACCCTTCGGCAAAAGCATACAAACAGTCCCCAAAGAACCTAAGTAGGAGGCTTGCCAGTAGAGGTTGAATGGCACCACGGGCATTGGACCAAGCACTAAAGATAACTAAACCAGTCATCTGTCCAGCCTGAAAGCCAGCAATTATTAAGCCGAGAAATCTTGTGCTTACTGACTGATCCACCTAAAACATTTTGAAAATAAATCAACAAAACACAAAGAATGCAAAAAACATACTATATATACTCGAATTTGCCCTACTATATTACGTCCAAACCCCAAAAAAGTCCATTCTTAAGGTGAAAAACTTTAATAGGCCCCACCCTTGAATCAGCCCCTTCTCTAAAATGCAAATTATTTTGTTTTAAAAAAACAAGGGCCTTTAATAAATGAATTTCAGAAAAATTCACCACATTGGACCTTGTTTGTCGACACATTCAGTGACAAATGCAAAAAGCACACAATTAAATCAAACATTAACGGAAAGACAGGAAAGACAAATTCTTTCGAATAAAAAATCTTTTAGGGTTTTGATTTCTACTCTGGTTTTATACTTAAGTAATAATTATCGAGCAAATTTGCCAATGAAATGCCGCAGGTGACAACACTTTCTTCTATTTCGGGTCCTATAGTTACAATCTCTGCCAAAACACCTTGGAACACCTACATATTTTGCTAATTTTTTGCTTTTTTCGTATATTTCCCATGAAATGTTGCTTAAAACAATCCCCCCCCTAAAACAATGCTGCTTCGTCGTCGTCGTTCATTCAGCCGTTGCGGTTGCTTGTGACTGCCATGACCATTTCTCTCCAATCCACTCTGTTCTGGGCCATGGTTAGCGCTTCGTAGAGTTGCATGCCAGTGAGCGATTTGATGTTATCAGTCCACCGCGTCGGGGGTCTGCCCCTCCCTCTACTGCCCTCAACCATACCCAATATAGCAATCTTTTCTATGCTGTCATCTGGTTTTCGTGCGGCGTGTCCGAAGTATGTGAGTTGTGCTCTATGAATGAGATTGAGTAGACTGTTTGGACGGTATACTCTGTCAAGCACGCTTGCATTGGTTTGCCTTTCGGACCAGTGGATGCTCAGCATACGACGCCACGACCACATTTCAAACGCGTCAATTCTTTTTCGGGAGCGTGTCTTTAAAGTCCATGCCTCCGCACCATAGAGGACGATGGAAAATACCAAAGACCGCATCAGTCGGGTTTTCGTGTCTAACCGGATGTCATGGTTCTTCCATATCTTCTGTAGCTTTCCAACAGCAGACCTGCCCATCGCTAACCGTCCATCAATCTTCTTTTCACAGTCTCCATCAGGTCTAATCATCGAACCGAGAAAGTCAAAGTTGTTCACTTCCTCCACTTCTTTGCCGTCGACAAATATATGGTTGTCGTCTGCGGTGGTTTTCATGATTTTAGTTTTGTCGACATTGAGATATAAACCGCATTTCTCACTTTCTACTTTGAGCTTTTGAAGCAATGTGTTCATATCTTGGATGGTTTCGGCGATGAGGGACGTGTCGTCAGCGTATCTAAGCTCGTTTATCAACCGCCCACCAATAGATACACCCATTTCCATGTTCGATAACGCCTTCCTCATGATGTGTTCACCATATAAGTTGAAAAGGTGAGGGGAGAGAATGCACCCCTGTCTTACTCCCTTTCCAATGCCAAATTCGTCGCTTTCACCACTTTCTGTTCTGACAACTGCACACTGGTTCCGGTAGAGTTCATGTAGGACATGGATTATGTGTTCTGGAAAGCCAATATCTCTCATTATACTTAGCAAGAGGCCGTGGTCAACACAGTCGAAGGCCTTTGCGTAGTCAATAAAGCAAAGGATAAGTTGCCTTTTGCGTTCCTTCAATTTTTCCATGATTCGTCGGATATTGGATATTTGATCTCTAGTTCCTCTGCCTGTACAAAACCCCGCCTGTGTGGCTGGTAGTTCTTCATCAAGGCGCTTACGCATGCGTTCTACAATCACATACAGCAAAATCTTACTGGTATGTGAGATCAGAGCGATGGTGCGGTTGTTCTTGCATAGTGTTGCGTCACCCTTTTTCGGAATAGTTATGAACACAGATTTCAACCAATCATTGGGCCAATGTTTGTGTTTCCATATCGAGTTGCATAAACTACACAGCTTGGCTAATCCAGTGTCGTCCATCGCTTTTATGAGCTCTGCTGCTATTTTGTCGTCTCCCGGTGACTTTCCGCTTTTCAGTTTCTTTACAGCTGCTTTGATATCTGGCTCGTCTTGGTAATCTCGAAAAACCGTGTTCGTGTTGTATTCTATCATCCTTTGCGTACAAGTTTTCGCAGTATCTTTTCCACCAATCCTGTATATCTTTAGATTCCGTGAGTACATGGTCGTCTTCATCTTTGATTACGTTCAAGCGTTGCGAACGCTTATTTGCTTACAATGTTGCTTACAATGCAGTTTATCACAGCGATCGGTAGAAAAAGGTTTGCCACAAAAGTATGTCTTAACTTAGCTGTGAGACAACATTGTTTGTGTCAAGGTCTTACGCTGTACTGCGCAGACTTATGCGAGAGGATTTCATGAGAGAATCGAAGAAATGAGATTATGTTCTGTGCTTACATTCTTGTTATCGTGCATATCCCAATCCCTATTTACAAAATCTAATGATATATATACTAACGGCGTACAATAGGTTAATAACATGATTGACATAAAACTAAATGAGGTACAAATGAATACGAGGTTATACAATATAAGAATTATCCTGTTAAATTAGAGGGGGGGGGGACGGATGCATGAAAACGTTGAAAATATCACAAGTGTTCCAAGTGTTTTGGCAGTGATTGTCTGAAACCTATCTGGAATATCAAAAGGTACAGTGATCAAAAGAAACATATCAGCGATTTTTTAGTTTCTTTCTTCAGTTTGGGGGTAGAGGGGTTTTAGCCGTTGTTTTTAACAGTAGTAGACGTTGTCAATAGTTTCATTCTGTTATATTTCATTACTTAGTTACAAAATATAGTGTTATTGCAGTAGTTGTGTAGAGGAATTTGGTAGATATGAATGCGTTGAAAGCGTGAATTGTTTTCATGGCACTTTTTCTGTGATGATCGATTTCCCTTAACACAACGGATTGCAGCATTTTTATGACGCAAATCGGCGTCATTAGTATAGAGAGAAAGATTTTTCTTTTGATATTTCCAAATAAGGAAACACCAATAAGAGCTAAAAATAGAACCAAAACTGTAATTGCAAATATATAAAAGAGAGAAAGAGCCGATAGGCAGTTTGGGGTCTACAAGAAATCACAGCGATATTAGAAAAAATGGTCGTCCATACGATGATTAACCAAAGGAAAAGAGCCTATGCATACTAATCTGATCTAATCTAGCCGTAATGAAAGCTTATTCACTAAACTGTCTGCTCGCTACGCTCGTAGGGAACCTTGTCTTTCGGTTTTTTTCTTGGGGCACCCAAAATCTATCAGTGGCACTGGTATTGATGCTCCACAAGAACCAAGAAATATCTAATGTGTTTTCGTTGTGGTTTCAGCTATTTTTATCTAGCCTCGTTTTCACATTGCATTGTTTTCTTTACGTCTCTTAGTATACGTTTCATTAGCCCATATTTGGTATTTCCATTTTTGCGTGTTCTTGCTTTTCCTCGTTTACTTCCGATAGCTATAAAGGATTTGCACCCCACGTTTTGGGTGGTTATTGACTCGCCTTGCATTGCGCTGTGTTGGGGCAGTTTTCTATCGTTTACATGCAGTTTTTGGCCTGGTAGTTTCTACATGCTGTGTTTGGCCGTCGTGCAAAATTTTTATGGCTACGAGGACTAATAGATTGTAAGTTGTATGTATTATTATGTAGTTATCTTTCACTTTATTTATAAGTAGCTCATACTTAACATTTTGTAGTCTAGTTGGGTTTCTACGTAGTTCTATCTTCTGCTAACATTAATTAACCTTTTATAATTATTCTTTTTCATTATATTGTAATATTAAGCTTCTTGTCGTATTCTCAACTTATAATCTTCATGTATGTTAATTGCTAACATTTTTCTTTAGCGAACCACGTTTAACACATCACCTCAGAACCTGTGTTGTTTCTTGCTGTGTTATCTGCTGGGGATTTAGGTGTGGTGCGTTCGATATACCAAAGTAGTCAGAATTACAAATTGTGGACTACACCCTCTTTCGCGTTTAATGCAGCAGTTTACAACATTAGACAACTGTGGTTCAGCACTACGTATAAAGCGTCGAGTACTTTATGACAGATTGGTAAACAGTTATTTTCAAAAATGTGTGTATCTGAAAGAATAATTCTTATGAAAGGCCAGTTACATGTGCATTACCATAGAAACCTGATCCATGACTACTAGCCCATGACTTCTCATATCATATGATATTTCACCTTTTGAGATAACAGAAGACAGCTCGACACGAATCCATGGAAGTTTGGGATTCAAATATTTAATATCTGAGTTAATTTAGCAAATTTTTATTGCAATGTAGTTTTTCTTTAAGTATATCATAACTTTTATTTTTACGGAATGGATATAGTGTGAAAATTACATTAAGTTAAAAAATCAAATGAAATGGATCAATGATGGGTAATGATACTAAAGACAAGAAATTTAAGCAAAGACAATAACAAGACTCTTTGGCAGTGAAGAAATTATAACAAAATACTGGTATCAGAAAACGAGAAAACCGCACCTTTTGTAGGTATGGCCAAAGTGACGGCATTGTGCTTGTGTACTCTGAAAAGAGCAAAACTCAACAAAGTAAACGAAAAGAGCCATTGAAGATCTAATTTGATATTGCTTGTATATAGGGAAACTCTTTTTAAAATATGGAATATTAGAAAAAGGGAAACTATAATCTTATTCTGTTTTGTATATAGTGAAACAGTTCTAAAATATGATACTTTTGAAATAGAGAAACTAAAATCTAATACTCCTTGGTATATAGGGAAACAGTTCTAGAAATATGATATATTAAAAATAGGGAAAATATCATCTTATTCTGTTTTGTATATAGGGAAACAGTTCTAAAATAAGACACTTTTGAAATAGAAAAACTATAATCTAATACTCCTTGGTATATAAGGAAAATGTTCTAGAAATATTATATATTAAAAATAGAGAAACTATAATCTAATACTAATTTGTGTATAGGGAAAATCTTTTAAAAATGTGATACTTTTGAAATAGGAAAACCATAAGCTTCGGCTTATCTTCATACCTCTTTGCATCCATTTCCCTGTTCGCATTCATATCCATCCAAGTCATTTTTACCGAAAATTACTTTCACAATATTAGTTTCATAAAGATATCATTCTGTTTTCTTACCTATTGAACTGGAAAAGGAAACCAAATAAATAATGTATATTGCCTTCCATTTTGCTTTGTAGGTTTCCAACGACACCAAGTCATCGATGCCATGTGTTCCAAAATTCTGGCATCTTTTGGACGAACTGATCAGGAAGATTGAAAAAATTGTTTAATGAAGATAAGTGAGTTCTGTCTAGATAAAACATCGGAAGTTTTGTTTGCAAAATTTTGCTTTTGATTTTTCATAGCAAAAAATGCACTTAATTATAAGGTATGCATAGTTGTACACATTATAATGATGAAAAATCATTTAATCAAGTTTGTATCAGATCTTTCTGGTTTTCCTGTTTTAGGGCTTGATACAATTAGTTATAACAACCATTGTAAATAATTATTTTAATTTTTTAATACTAAAATGATTTTTTTAGACATGGTCGCTTAAGCAACGAACACGTGTTGCAGTATCTCTGGAAAAACTTTAGGTTTTGCTTTGAAAATCAATCCTATACAGGATGAACCGTAGATTATACGAATTGCAGGATCTACCTGAGAGTGAATTAACCAGACTGTCAGTGAAAGAACTGGTGACGACTACGTGAAGCAAACATATACCTGGAGAACGGTCTGCATGATTTACAGCAATACTCAAGAAGGAACAACCTCGAACTATCTGGGTTCGCAGAATGTAGGGACAGCGAAGAAGAGGAAACCAAACTACAGGAATTTTTTCAAGACCTGGGAGTAACCATCCACACCGGAAACATCGAGGCTGGCCACCGGATACCGACCAAACGAAAGGATATGAAGAAACCGTTGATTGTAAGTTTCGTTAACCGACGCAAGCGTGATGAAGTTTTCGCAGTAAGGAAGCAGATCAAGGGAAGAAAGATCTTTGTTAACGAGCACCTTTCACCGCACAATCGTTGGCTATACACCCTGGCCCTTGAAGTTGAAAGGAAAAGCGGCTATAGATTCTTGTGGACTATTAATGGTACACCATGTTTGCGGAAAAGTGAAAATAGTCCGGTTATTAAAGTGTCTTGTCCTACAGTCTTGGGTGGTTTGTAAGATCTAATATTCCATACCTTCTAACATAAAAGTGTAACCATAGTGTTTTTTTAAGGAATTTGTGGTATCATTTGCACATTCATTTTCCAAAGAGCGCTGCAACTCTTTAACTCTTTAATTACTAATAAAATTTGCATACCATTCAACTTTGTTTAAATAATTGACGTGTCAAATGCCATAAACCAACGAGAAAAAACCTAACACTGCTGCCAAGGAAAGATGCTGTCGTTGCAATAGACGTGTACACGTTCGGAAAATTGAATGTGGTAATTGTAAACTCCCTTCCCATATAAAATGCGCACAAATCTCAATAGAGGCCTATGCACGCTTATGCTCGGAAAACAAAGAATGGATCTGCAGGAAGTGCATGTGTAAACAAATGCCGTCTTTTTAGTGTTGTTGACAGAGACCTTGACTATAACTTTGATCTCACTTTCACAAAGTGTCTTGAAAGCCTCCAATTTAACCAATCTGTAACCATCGACTCCTTATTGGACAAAATTCCTGGTCACGAATTCTCAACAGATAATTTTATTGACGATATGATCACCTCGAAATACTACACTCCCCATGAATTTAAGCAGGCTCGACTGGGCTAAGCTCTCTGCGCTATACTGGCACTAAAGCACTTAATGCATTAAAAAACGATCCTCTCTTTACAAATATGACAAATAAAAAACACCTTAAGCGTATATTTTCCAATAAGGCTTTTGATTCTTATTAAACAACCATATGTCCCCAAACTATCCTTCAGCGTTTCTGACAGCAGCTCTTTCTTCCTTTGTAGCAGTTACATTTAAGAACTGGTAACCTCAGTTGGTATGTCTGGATTTGCCCGATCGGCCGGGTAGGGGTCTATGAATTAGCTCTGCTATAAGATTCCTTCCCAACCATTTGGTCCTTTCTTAAAATTTTCAATTTTATCAATTTAATGATTTGGTATCATAGATTATGGTAAACCTAGTCCAATTCATGTACTCGTTTCTTTATTCTTTATTAATCATAACTTAAATTGTAATTCTTGTTGGTTGGAATGAAAGCTCTTATGTCTTATGTCTTAAGTTTTATGTCTTATGTTAATGAAACATTGAATTAAAGTTAAAAACATGGCAAATAGACTTATATGCATTCATCCATTAAGCATAATCATAAACATACATTATAAAAATATGTTTTTTATTTAGAAAAAGATTATCACTATTTGGCTTCACCTTTCTGTCTCGTTCACTAAATTTTTCTTCTTAGCATCGAGAAGATTTTCCGCCATCTGAGCTAATTGATCGTTGTAGCTTCAAAATTCTGTGAATAAAGATAGCACTACTCTATTTATTGAAAAAAAAGCATTAAGAAATCAACTTTCCATACAATCAATTAAAAGAATTTTTTTTAGGCAATAGTGGAATAAAATGTACCATATCTTTCTCCAAGTAACTGTGCTTTGTAATCCCTTGAATATACCCCTAGCCTCAGCTTGGTTCCTATGTCTTTATCATAGAAGACATATATGAAATATAATATGGGAATTTACTCCGAGAAATCGGTCATTTTCCAAGTTGTACAAGGAATAACAGATTGGCTTAGAAAATAGGTTGAGAAACCTGATATAGAATAACTTGGTGCCAGCGCAAATTGATATAGTTTTATTTTTTTCAATTGCCTTAAACTTGGCTCACAAGGTGTATTTGTTAACAGTGAAGTTCTCAGAAACATTACAAAAAGAGAAAAATAACTGTTGAAGGAAAAGAAACTGATGAAAATTTTTTTTTGAGGACATGAGAAAGAAAGAATGGTCAGATTTGTTCTATAAAAGTAGCATCAAGAATACTTTGGTTGTATTGATGATCAATTCCTACTAATAAAGATCTAGATACAATCATAGATTCTATTAAAACTTTTTTGACAAGCCCAGTTTGAAAAGTTTAAAATCTAGATTTTTGGTAAAGCACCTTATTTTCCAAAATGTTCAAGATCAGATGTTACAAAACAATATTCCATGTATAAAAATTGCTTAATTTGCTTTTTTATAGTTGATAGTTCTTCTGTTTTTGGTAAACCTTGTTTCTTTTTTTCTCCTCAATCGTATTTTGGGTACTTTTAAGATCTAAAAAAGAGTTTCCTTACAAGCTTTATTATAAAGGTTATTCTTAAACTTTGCAAGACCTATTCTTTTACCAAGTCAAAATCATAACAGACGAAACTATTAGACATAATGATTAAAGAAAGCTTAAATATATTGCCTCGGATTTTCCTTCATTCAAAATCCATTTTAGATTCAGTCTCTGGCCATCCCTAAAGTACTTAAATCTACAATTTTTTTGCTGCCAAAAGGGTGGCGGCCCAACATAAACTCTTTAAAGACTTTCATATTTCCCCCCTCCACTTTCAAATACGTTTCGCCGCCCCTGGAAACATTCGTATGGATGGATTTCAGGCCCTATTTTCTAGTCTATCAATATTGGTTATGTATATTTATAAGATTCCCCGAATGTCAGGCAAATGGCAAGTTATAGCAGGTTTATCATCGGCTAAGAAAACGTGATATGTAAAAACAGAAAAAAGCTGTGCTTTTTATGTTGAATGGTCTGGATGCCATTTGAAACATTTTTCCAGTACGTCAAGATGTTGAGTTTAACATTGATAGTTTCATTTTTTGCAGCCTATTCGATATGTGTAGGGGTGTGGTGGTGTTGGTGATTTTACACAGAAGTCTTGTGTAGATGCACAGAAATTATTTTTTAGAATTTTTTTGCTAGTTCGTGCATGAATTCAAAAGTGGTTCTACAGCTTCCACTCCTCGCTTTCTAAGGGCTATTCTCCGACCAATTGACTGTCATTCTTCTGTTAAGTGTCTTTGAACAATTTTTTGGCACAGAACTTGAAAATGGCTTAAATGGCGAAAATTAGCTGAGTCAATTTGTTGAGCGAAGAACGTAAGAACATTTGTAGGGAGAGCAAGATAAGAGAATAAAGTGAGAGAAAAAGTAAAAAATACAAAATGAAAAATTCAGCTGAGGGAACAAGTTGAGAGATTAAGCTGCTAGAATAGGCTGATAGATTTAGCTTAGAGAATAAAGTGAGAGAAAAAGTCGAAAAATAAGTTGAGAAAATTAGCAGATACGAGGGAATGTGCTGAGAGAATAGACCCATAGATTAGGCTTAGAGAAAAGTTGAGGGAATAAGCAAAGATAAAAAGTGGGGATAATTAGTTGAGAAAATAACATGAGCGAATTAGACGAAAGATAAAGACTGAAAAAATAAACTCGAAGAATAAGCTGAGAGAATAAGCTGAGTGTTAACGCTAAGAGTTAAAGTTGAGAAAATTTGTTAAGAAAAAAGACAAGAAAGTAAGACAAAAAATCAAGCTTACAGAATAGACTGAGGAAATGGGCTGAGAGTGTAGTAACAATATTTTGATTTTCATGCTAGGCCCATTACATTTATTCATTCCAGTCACAGCCCCGTAACAATCAAAGTACGTCACTAATTACAACATCAATTCTCGTTTCACAAAAAGAGGATAAGCTGAATAATAGGCTATGCGAATAAGGTCAAAGAAAAACATTAGGGAATTAGCTGAGAGAATAAGCTCCAAGAATAAGCTTGACGAATGAGCTTAAATAATAGAATAACCTCAACGAATGAGCTATGAGAATAAGCATAAAGAGTAAGCCAAGATAATAAGCTTAAAGAATGACCTTGATAAATGAGCTTAAAATATAAGCTGAGAGAATAAGCTGAGCGAAAATATAGATAATTAAGGGTTTTCATGGACATTTATTATTTTTATCAGTGTATTTATAGAGAACATGTAAATTAAAGTATTTAGTCTTTCCTTGCTGTAAATCTTTGACATTAATTGGCTTTGTAGCTATCGTCATGCCAACATAAAAGTAATCAATTAATTTTTTTGCTATAATTAGAATAATAAAACTGAGAAAATCTGACATTCTCAATTGAGAATGTTGAGAATATCTCGATTTGCCCATGGCGTTACCCATTGACCACATTGATATAGACTTATCCGCACTATCATAAGATACTCTTTTGGATCCTATTGAAAAAGAGTATCCAAGGGATATCGACATGAAAATTCTCAACCCTAAAAATGATCGCATTAAAGATGAAAAGATTTAGAAGAAATTATCTTTTCATGGTACAAAAATTAAAAATTGGTTTTGACAAAAAGCAAACCATTTAGAACATACTGAAGCTTGACGTCTCACATTTTTCTGAGTGCAAAACTTCAGAACATAGACCAGAACTCTACGCTAGGAGATATATTTACTCAGTTGTGGAACGGAATGGGCCAATCAGTAACGCAAGCACGTGACTGTTGAGGTTATCTAATCACTGCCGCTTGCCTATTGAGAAGTTACCAATGGAGTCCTAAGGTGAAGAGGAACTCCTTCTATCCACAAAAAAGCTTTTTCTGCGCTTCTGTAGATAGATTCCCAAAATTCTAGACGGAACAACGATCGGGTTTTACCAATAATCCAAAACGTATCACCGTTATAGTTGTTTGTACAATCTGGGTTTTCCAGGAAATGCTGCTCGATAGCAGAAAGGCATCTCTTAGTCATTGTTTTAGATCTGGAAGACCGAGGTGGACATTCTCTTTGAGGTGGGGTTATGTTTCTAATGCTAGGAGAGACACGCTGTTCTATTATTTCCCCCAATCTTTGGCCAGAATCACTTTGGCACGCAAATTCGTAGATAACGGAAGTCTTTTAGGTGGTAGGAACGCATGCCTTTTGAATAAATTTTTTTACTCGCAAGGGACTGTTACAGATCCAGGATAGTTTTAAATAAACAGGGCACTTTTGCGGACCAATATTTACTTCAACCGAGAAACTGAAATGACATCCACTGGATAGCCGTTCTCCAGAAAAATCTTTTTTTTTTGTTATTTCAAGGTACTTCCTGATCATTCGCTCAATTTCCTTAGGGAGGTCTAGAATTCTTGTTGCCGTCCTTCCCTTACAATTCCTCCTGGGAATTTAATAGAATTTAAAAGGAAGATCCAATTTCAAATACACCTCTTTATCAAAATCAAACAACAGTCATTCCTGACGGCCTAGCTTCAATACAATCAACAAACAACATTACCTGATTAACAGAGAAACTCTAAAAACGAATGAAAGTTTATCAAACCGATAAAAAAATCAGCACAGCGATAACGTTACTTTGAAAGGTGAAAAATTACGAAAACGATAAGTACCCGATAACCACTTACTATGTTTATTTTCACCATCTCTTAAGTCTCTTTCGAAGCTCAGTCTCCCCAAATCCGCACATGCCTGCTTCTTACAGTTCTATATACAAAAAACTACAAAAAGCAATTGTTATATTGCCTCAAGCTAATTTGTTGCATAGTTGCTTCTTTAGCAATGCGGTTTTTAGCAAACAAATATTTATGGTTCAGTGAAAACCAATCCGTGCATTGATAAAGACAGAAAGTTTGCAGCGAGAGAGCAAGCAGTTATAATCATGACAAGCAAAATTAGGTATTTTAACAAGCTTTAAAATTTTTTGAATTCGAAAAAGAAATTTGGTGGCTTAGAGAGTGGCTGGGGAAAAATATTATAGGTTATACTGTGTGCTATAACTCTAGAGTAATCTAGATACTTGAGAGCGAAAGGCGACTCAAAGAATAACGTGTGACCAGTGGCGAAGCCAAAAGTCCTGCTTGTTCTGCTGGACAGGACCACAAATTTCCAAAGATAACAATTTTTAAAATAAGAAAAATTGATTCCCTTTATGAAATTATAGGAACGATATTATTTAGCATGAATTGCAATGGTTCCTATTAGACAGGACATATAGCCTGACAATCTGATATTTAAGCTAATGTTTGCTTTCTCAACGGATTCTTGTAGTAGGGAGTCCAGGCTTTCATAATCTGCCGATAGGTACCGAATAACCACTTACTAAGTATGTTTAACTCTCATTTGTTCTCCAAATCCGCACATGCCTGCTTCTTACAGTTCTATATACAATGAACTAGAAAAAGCAATTGTTATATTGCCTCACGCTAATTTTTGCATTGTTGCTTCTTTAGCAATGCGGTTTTTAGCATACCTAATTTTAAGGTTTAGTAATAACCATATTGTGCATTGATAAACAATGAAAGTTTGATAAATTTGGAAAAAAAGCCCTTACGTCTGAGCTATTCAAAACATGTCCTCCATTGAGATCCGTCGGAGGAAAAAAGAAAGAGCAAATTTGGATACATAGGTATGTCTGGGCGTGTGTGTGATTATCAGAAAGACGGGAGTTCGGGATTAGGCCATGCTTTGTTTCTACAGCAAAAGATGAAATAGGTGGTTCTGATGAGATCTTCATGATTTTGGAAAATATGTTCTTTTGATGTTGTTAATCCATCTGTTGATCATTGTATATGTCTAGGAATGGGGTTGAAGATTGGCCAAATATTCCAAGGCAGCTAATAGACAGGTTAACAAATTTAACAAAATGGAAATATTTTGCCAGCTCGGCTCATTTAGCTCTTTTCTCTTTGCATTGTTGTTCAGATTTGTCTCAAACCTAACTGATGGTTTGACAATATAGAAAATACTTTTGGACGTTTCGAGGATAAGGTCTGGTAAAAAGAATCCAGGTTGATCCGAGAAGAAAGTAGATCCACTGATTCTATCCAGGTTAGCCTTGCAGACAGCTACAACATGCAATGATTCAGGGAGATTCAGGGAGAAAACGAAATGAGCAGTCATTGGTTAAATTTAACTTCCCCATAAAGCGGTTTTTTGAGTAGCTAAAGTGTTGTTAAGATAGCGGATGCTGAAACAAAAGATGTTTTTAGGTATGTTGCTTTGGGCAGTAGACCAAGTTAAGGACGATGAATAGGTAATCTTACTAAAACTTGTTCTTGCACCAAAACCATGTTTTCTCAAAAACTATAAGTTCTATCAGCTAGAAACTTTTCACAAGTAATAGCCAACTACTCTTCAACAAAATGCCATATATTTCATGACGTCAGAATGCGCATGTATAATTTACGGACCAGAAACTCCGGACCAGTAAAAATACTTTAAGAAAGAATTTGAACTGTGGTGAGCTTTCTAAAGACAAATCACCTATGCAATAATGGAACATATAAAAAATACTCCAGGATGAGCAGAGGAAATTGTTGTTTTAGCAACCGTTGCTATGGTAACCAAGAAAAAGGCTTTTTTGGCAATTCAAGTCCAAAGATTGTAACCATCAACTTTTCCTCTGCTCATCCTACAAAGCATCTTGAAAGGTACTTATAGACAAAATTTCAGCTTTCTGCCTAATAGGATAAGGAAATGAGGCTTTCTCAAAGTTCGAAAAGTAAAAAAGCGGAAAATCTAATTTAAAGTTTTACTTCATCGTTTTAAGAGCTAGAAATAGCATAACAGGTCAAATACATGATTCTAGTGAAAAGTTAGGTATTCTGACCTACTGAGTTCTTGATGCTTAGTAATCTATCCAAGATTTAGCCAGAAAATTATCCAAAAAGTAGTAACGTAAGTTTTCTTCAACGTAAACGCTTCCGTGGTGGTTCTGATGTAAACATTACATTGATGTTTTCTTCAGCAACAAATGTTATTTGAGGCTCTTTTGGTTCTTCTCTGTCTTTCTTGAGAATTACATCTGGCACTTTATGGGTACTGAACCCTCCAGACATATAATGCCTTCCAGCCTTTGTTCCCATCTTCTTAGCTTTTCTTAGAAGGCGCCGCCGGTTCAGGTATGAACTACGAGACTGATTTCCAGCATTCTTTATTCTGGTATCATTCAAGGCACGAAAGCCTCTTGCTGTATGCACACCAAAATGTTCTATCCCCATCTCCTCCAAAACACAACCAGCACCAGCAGCTCCCTGGTTCCACTGGATAACTGATGCTGAAGCTGCAGCATCAAGTTTACGCTTCCCACAGAAAACACGTTTTGGGCACTTTGACCACAAAACATTATTAAGAGACTCATTTTGATTCTGAGTTAACCCTTTCAAACAACGCTTTAGAAGGTCTTCTTTCGATAATCTTTCAAAAATTGGCTTCAGCTCTGACCGAAAAACAGCAGGAAGACATTTGTTTCGATTGTACGTTTTGGTTTTGTTTAGTTGGTCTTGTTGCCATTTGCACCATGACAGAGAGCCTTTAGGGCAAAATCTATGTTGGATTTCCAATGCTTCATTTTCCCCAACAATACTATGAAAATATATTGCCCATACTGCATCTTGTGTCATCTTCAAATTGCCTTTATTTGACCTTATTGCATACCCATAGTAGTTTTGCAATGAGTCTATTGCAACATCTGTCAATCTCCCTCGTCCACCAACACTCACACCATCTGGAAGTTTGCTTGCTTTCATTTTATTTTTGTACATTCTCAAGTTTGACCCCATTCTTTTTTGAATATGCCCAATGCAATCTTCCTTGGTGACTAAATAGTCACTGCCATATTTTTTAAAGCAAGCATCTGCTACCTCACCAAAAGACGAAGAATCACCATCTCCAACATATGTTACATATTTCAACTTATGTTTCTCTATAGACCGAAGGAAAATTGTCACTGCTGCACTCTTCTCCATTGCCTCTGATGATTTGTTGTGGTTGATACAACATTTATCCTGATGCTTTGCAAACCAATCTTTATACCTTTGAGAATCTTTGTCCCAATTTCCTTTTGACCTATATTCGAAACAAATTTTTGACTTCACTTCCAAATCTAGCACCTCCCCTGTCTCAACTGCCAAAACAAAGACAACACCAAGTAAAGATGAATGACCATATCGTTTTTGCCATGTCCCATCTACAGAGACAGTGACTGGAAATACATCATCCTCAATGTCTAGGTCTTCATGTGAAGGAGACATCTTTTTCAAAGCTCTTTTCAAATTTTTGGCAGCTTTCTCTAAGGATTTTTCTACAACAGTACTGTAGCACTGCTCAATCTTGTTAATTGTGTCAGAGTAAGCATTTTTCGAAACTGGTGGTGGTAAATTCAATAAAGAGCACAGTTTTTTTAAACTTGTGTGTCCATTTCCTGTCTCTAGACCACCTTGAATAAGGCGAATATTTACCTCTGACCTTCTACCACCATCTTTAACATAATTGCTGGTATGAAAAATAGATGAATTCTGACAGTTTGTGCACAGTAACAAAAGTTCTTCATCAAGCCCTTTACGTGCCAAGTCATTTTGGAAAAGCTCCAATTTTCCTTTTGCTGACCTACATGATGCACATACTGCAGCTGTAGTTAAAATGTTCTGCAAATTTTCAATGGTTACCAGTTTGTTACCATATGCTTTAATATATTGGCTGCTGTTGTGGCCCTCCTTAGCACTACTTGTTGTTGGTGTGGATTTGTTAATTCCCAGCTGAAATCCTTTGGCTCTTGTTATTGTCTCCTCTCTTTCAACCTCCAATAAAGGGCAGTTATTATCAATCTTCTCAAAAGATCTATTTAACTTCTCTGGTGAAGAAGAACTTGCTGGGCCTAAATCTTCCGAATTTGACTCATGTTCCTGTTCTTGTTTCCGTTTACCACTGAACACTCTTTTCCGTTTTTTTCTGTAGATAGTATTCTTTTTTTTCCCAGGCATGACAAACTGAAGAATTTCAACTAGTTTCAAAAAACGCACAAATGTTATTTCAGCGAACAGTAGAAACGTAAAAAGTGAAGCGTGTCAGTGTCCTCTCGAGGCAGTCGGCAATCTTTTCGACAAGTACTTCATGTTATAGGTGCACAAACATAATTCAACTCAATTTAGAAACTTATAAAACCCCCAAAACGACAAATTTAGCCCTGGAAAGTCGGTTGACACCCCAATCATTTCCTTAGCAACCACATTTCATGCGTTGCTAGGCAGGGTAGCTATAATAAAACATAGTTTTATAGGTGAAAAGATATTTTTTTTGCAAAATAGATATCGAGAACTTAAAACCTAATACTTGAACCACAATTTTATACCAGAAACCCAGATTTGAAGAAAACAAATTTCTTTAACATATTTTACCTATTCATCGTCCTTAAGATTAAGGCCCCGTGTACGAGAGAATATTCAACATAAATAATGCTATTTTAAGCACAACAATTTATTCTTTGAATATTCCATTCTGTGCTTTGGTTTGCAAGTTGACCAACAGACAGGAGGGAAATGAACACCAGCGAAGGTCCTCGAGATCCTTTTGGAATATCATTGCAGGAAAGAATTGCAAAATGTGTAGCCTTAACTTGCTAGGGTAGCTTTAATACGTTCAAGTTGTTATTCTAAGTTCCCTTTTCACTTTGCCGGGAAAAAACATGGCGATTGTATGGTCAATGACCGTGAGGAAGGCCAATAGAAAGCAAATTAAAATGCCATTCTCGATCCTCACCTTAACTTTTCTTGGGAAGGTTTG